CTGGAAAATGATTTCTTAAGAAGAAGCAGGGTGTGTGAATTCCCTCATGTTATGTTCACATTATTGTGTCCACCCCGTTTGATACTCCTACATAGACTTACTGTACCGTGGTTTCTGATCTCTTTATCACAGTGTGGCTGCAGCTGACTGTGACTCTGGGTTACTCATCATATACTTACAGTGTTTATCTGTGCCGGGCCGTCAGAACAAGAACTTGTATCGTGGTATTTTTGCAGATACACTAACTGAATTTTAAACTGAGTTTTTAAACTAAACTAAAGTTAAAAACATTGTTGATTCACAGTTGAAACCAGTGTTGTGAAAGTTCAGTTCAGACAGATTAACAATGAACAAAACAGCAGTGAGACTCATTGTTCTGCCCTTTGTTAATGATTTATTGTGATCACCGTTCACTTAATGTGTCGGCATTCTAACATTTTGTGACATTCACTCGTCAATCAATCTTCAACTCTGGAGTTTCCAGATGGACTTTTTGCTAAAAAAGAAGCTTGTGCAGCTAACGTTAGCTGACTCAGCCTCGGGGTGGCAGGAACCAAAAACAAGATTATTTGGAAATTCCTAACTGGACTAGAGAGACTGACACAGGATCCATTTATTATCAGTTATCGTTGTTATTAGGGATGGAAATTGATGAGATTTTATTGATACCAATAACATGATTATCGGCGTGATTCTGTGTTGAATCCCTAATTGATTTCTGATCAATTTTCTGTGTGGAAACAATTATGCAGACACAGGTTTTCAGCATCAACGCAACTGTTTCTGTATGAACTGGTCGAGGCAGACGACCACCCACCCTAAGAAGCCGGGGTCTTGTCCAAGGTTTCTGCTCTTAAAAAGGAGTTTGTCCTCGCTGCTGTCGCCAAGGTTCTTGCTCATGTGGAATGTTGCGTCCTTTTAGTTTACGGTCCTAGACTGCTCTATTGAAAAGTTCCTGAGATTAAACTTTTGTTATGAATTGGTGCTATACAAATGATGTGAAGCCACTCTTTGGACCGTTTCTTCCTCCCCACAATGACTTCTTCTTGTTCCATGTTTCTTGTTTGACTTCATTGTTTTGCAATGTGCAATGAAGAAAAACAGGCTGGTATTGATAAAATGAACTGACAATTTGTAACTGGTTCTTGATTCACATCCTTAGCAAGAATTCTGCGTCGGTATGAATTTAGTGTGAATGTTTGACTATTTTTAAAAGCGTTGCATCTTTTAGCCAATGTCCACAAAGTGGGTTTAGTGAAAAAGTCTGTTCGGCCTTGGAAGCGAGGTAGCTAACTTACATGTTCTCATTCATGTCTAAAGGTACTTTTATGTGCCTCACATTCAAATATTACAGTGTCACTTGTCAAACGTGTAAGTCCACCGGTCCACCCTGTTTCAATGTCAACATCCACTGTTGCTCAGTTCTGTTGGGTTGTGGCTTTTGCATTCATGTTGCACTCAGTTGATACCTCTCGAGCACCGTAGTTGCTACCTTGATAGCAGCTAATGAGAATTCGTACGAACAAATGAATAATATTAAAGAAACGAAGTGCAAAAATGCATTGATTTCCAAAAGAATGGATATTTCTTTGTTTTTGGCCTAGCGGAGGTTCTCCTTCCCATAGACATGCACTAATAGTGGAAACTCTGCAATAGAGATACAGTAAACTTCTGCAGAAAAGTTTCTTGGTCTTTCATCCCGTTTCTGTGACTTCCTTCACTCGTCAGTGAATATCTGGAGCAATTAAATTGCAGTCTGTAACTTTCTCTGATGTTATCCAGAGAGACTTTGTGACGATGTACTGTGGATAATAACCTTTACCACAAACACACAGAGAGAGAAAGTGGTGGCAATGTGTGATTGTATGACAGGAAAAGGAAGTGGTACCAAGCATGTCCAGGAGAGATTTCCACTGTGCCAGTGTGTGTGTGTGTGTGTTTGTGTGTGTGTGTGCGTGCTTCCTGTACTGTGGTCTTATATCCACCCTCCTGTATTTGACTCCATCTTGACCTTTAAAGCGTCTCTGTAACCTTTGGCTTCATGTGTTGACTTTCACCGCCTCCCAACAATATAAACAATAAGTCACCATTTTTAGCCTCACTAGCGTCATATGCTAACAGCTGTTAGGAAGGTGATGTCATTGGGTGAGTTCATGTCGACACGTTGATCCAGACTGAATTAACCTCAACAACTATTGGATGGATTATTCTTAAATTTGGTACTTACTTTGCTGATCATTTTTTTATCTTTTCCTCTAGCGCCACCTTTAGGTAAGAATTTACAGTGATTCCCGTCAGACTCAGCTTTATGTTTAGATCTGCCTCTTTGTCTCCAGTGGTCACTCGCAGCACTGCAACAAAAAAGCATTTTCGTGTGTCAAACTGCTGACAGGACACGTCCAACTGCAAACACGGTCAATTATTACTCTTCATATTGAAGGAATGCAGGAATGAACTTGGAACAGAGTTAGCGTTTTATCTAATGAACTCAATGGGGTTTTGGTTAGATGCCTGAAATAAGCTTAAGAGACTTTTTTCTTTTACTTTTTTGCATGTCTTAAAAAAGGCGGTTGCTAACAAGTGGCTAGCTGAGACTACAGACGTACTAGTCCTCCTCAGCCTTGTTGTGTTCATACACACACTCCTGTAAACTATTCTAACTCAAACTAACTAATAGTTTGAGTTAGGATCAAAAACAAAACTAACTAATAGTTTGAGTTAGGATCAAAAACAGCTGTAGTTTGTGTTTAGCACAACACATTAAGACAGTGACCATGTACCTACTAAACACCAGCATATCTGACACAGTCAAGAGAAATGTAAATAATCCTGCACTTCCTTGAGCATCCGACCTCGTCCGTCCTCCGCCTTTAAATCAAATAGAAT